TGTAAAAACGAATGCAGTTGTGTATCAAAATACAGTCCTGACGAACCTTGTGGAACCTGTTTCTCATACCATGTTCAATAACAGGCACTGGGTATTCCAACAAGATTCGGCGCCAGCTCATAGAGCGAAGAGCACACAAGACTGGCTGGCGGCGCGTGAAATCGACTTCATCCGGCACGAAGACTGGCCCTCCTCCAGTCCAGATTTGAATCCGTTAGATTACAAGATATGGCAACACTTGGAGGAAAAGGCGTGCTCAAAGCCTCATCTCAATTTGGAGTCACTCAAGACATCCTTGATTAAGGCAGCCGCCGATATTGACATGGACTTCGTTCGTGCTGCGATAGACGACTGACCGCGCAGATTGAAGGCCTGTATTCAAAATCACGGAAGTCATTTTGAATAAACTTTAGTGTCATAAGAATCTATGTTTTGTTAAGTTCATTTTGGTATATGAATGGTTACATAATGAATAAACTTGTTTCAATTATTTTACATTAAACATGTGACAGAATTTATGACCTGACTACGTATGTGTGTGTCAAATAGATGGTAGCGTGTGTAATGTTTTTTATTGAATTAATGTATTATTAGTGCAATATAATTTTTAAAAACATTAGCATTCTGCACCCCTTCCCTGTATTCTCTATAAGTGTAGGAAATTTCATACTCCTCCGTCCGCGCAATTTGCGTAAAAAGGGGTACAAAGTTTTTGCTTCACGTATTAATATATAGATGACACTTTACAACCCCTTATTACACTCGGTAATCAAACGATCAAAAGAGATTGCTGTACATGCCTGTAACTGGCTTACATACCAGTACTTCATTTTATACTTGTTAATTTTAAGCTTGAATGTTTTTTTGTGTATTGCTGTTGGTGTGTCCAAATAAATAAATAGTTACCTACGTGAAGTGAAGTCTAAAGTCCGACAGCTAAATAGAGTACTACAAATTAATTTCATTTCAAAAAAATGTGACGCGAAACCATAGAAATGAAATTGGAAAGGAAATAGCTCATTATCGCGGCGCGGAACCGACGGAGGTTGAAAGAAAAAACAGTCCATCGAATTAAATTCTAAAATTCATACATTTTGAAGAGAAAATTCTATGTTGATAATATTTATGTATTTTTTCGCCGTAGTTTTTGTAGACATAATTAAAAGCACTTTTACGGTTTAATCTCGTTATATCATGGACGACTCAATCACTCAGACGTTTCAAAAACTATAAAATATCGGAAACCTCAAAAATAATATTATTTAAGGATAGTCAAAAACAAGGGTACAATTTTACAAATTTTAGTTTTAATTATGTACTAAATTCATTTTAAGGTTATACATATAAAATGTTAAGTAGTGTTGGGTGTCACTTGAGGCCGAGAAATCCCAGGTGCCATATTTGACATGTACCATCAACTTATTATAGTTTTCCGGTCTTCTTCTTATTTTCATAATACTGTTATTTATTTATTAGTATTAGTGCGCGTGATTGTCAGCTTGATAATTTATTTGTGTGAGTTTTTTTTCAAATTACTGTTCTTCGATCTTTCCATTTGCAGTACTTGCAAAAATCAAACTTTTTGTCAAAAACTTGAAAAGAAATGGTAACTTAATAGTTATTATAATTTACCAATTTAGTGTGTGTTTATTTTTATTCCTTTCTGCCTATTTAATACCCATCAAACTGTGGGCAGTGGCAATCACTCATGAAAATCATTAATGACGAAATCAAAATTCGACTTATTAAACCGACTTATTGGCCATTTAGTATGATCAATGACCATCAACTATGAAAGAGCACAAGTGTGGGGAAACGGAACAAAATTACTCAATATGACTCCACAAGTTCTTCCAATCTCACTAAGAGCTAAAGCCTCGCGTTTCTAATTATGCATAAAAAGATTTACCAAAGACCGTTAATTAATTGACTAAGCTCCAGCCCGGTGTTTGTTTCCACTTAATCTCATTGTTTCTACGTATAATCTTTTTCTCTCAATATTGTCATTTCGCTATGATAATATCTAAGCTAAGTTTCATTTAATTGTGACTGATTATGGTCATACTATAGGCTCACGTCGATAATGCTCCCATTGTATTGTTTTCTAAGCAAGCAATAATGCATTCCGGCTTTAAGTATAAGAAAGCCCTGAAACAATCGAATTAAAACTAGCACTTGTGTCCTTAGTCGGTCCTTAATGTTGTGATGTCTAATTATGACATCGGTGTGAGGATTAACCATAAAAATAAAATACAAACAATTAGATAATAATCATTTATTAAAACCTTTACAGTAATTATTAATTAACATATTTACACAATTTCTTAATTTCAAATAGTGAATAATCTCAGTCAAGATACAATTTCAATTAAAATGATTGTCCGTGTTGCATCAATTAGGATATAAGAGGAGTTTTACATTTGCTTTGGAAGTTTTTAGAAATCTGGATAAAAAAGTAGGCTATTGTAATTTTAGAAATTTTCATCTCTCAATGCCAGGAATTTTTTTGGGACCGGAGATTGAATAACTGTGAGATAGTATACGGGAGTCGAACCTTTACGTCCAAACATGGTGCTAAGTCAGACTAATTATCAGACCCACGGCACTTTCTACAAAGCAGCTCTGAGCAATGAGACAAAACTTCTTTCTCAAGTGCCAAATTTTAGGTTTTCTATCATCTTCGATACCATCCGTGAACTATCTTTTTAACCCATTTTACACCATAACTAAAAATCTTTAAAAAACCGAAGATTTCTTTCAGAGCTTATTTTTGTTTTCTAGCACTGATGCAGATGAAAACCTCCAGTTGCTTAAAGAGGAAATACTCTCAACAGTGGCAATAGAACAGGTGTCAATTAAATTGCCAGTGACGACTTATGCTTATGCAGAAAATTATAATTTCTTATTGAAAGTACCATTTAGTCCTAATAAGGCTCACGGTCGCATAAAGAGCCATGGAGTCCGCATTGAGTAATTAAAAAATTCCTTAAGAACAAATAAAATTTAATTAAATATTGAATGTCGTTTCAAAAACAATTTAGAACATGAATTGACCGTATCTTAGCTAACACTCGTAAATATTTATTTACAAAATTTAGTTTTTACAAATATTATATATATCTTTCAAATGTAGATTTAAAATATATTTATTACGCTTAAAAATAGTATTCACATATTTCTACAGAGTATTTTACCCTTATACGGGGTGTACAGTGTCTATTCCTAAAGTTGGAATAGGAATAATCTCCAAGATTATCGCGAACGGAAATCTTAATAAGTTCCTTAGCAAAGCAAAAAATCTGATTATGTGATTATGATTCGTGACCCCGTAATGCAAGCAAGACGCAGCCATCAAACGTTCCCCGCAGACTCTCTAGCTCGTAGCTTTCGCACGTCAATTGTGTTTAAATAACGCTACATCGCAAATGAAATCACGAGAAAATCATAGTTTAAAAAACGACATAAAATCATAGTTTAAAAAACGACATTATCTACATATATCATTGTATTCAGAGACCCCACATTGTGATTGTTTACCGGAACGATTTCATTACACCCTGTATGTAATCAAATAAAAAATTTAGTATCAACTGCATAATATATACAATGACCAAGTAAGAATATTCGAAATAATATGGTTGGTGCATGGAATTTCATGTTCGGAATAACATTTTTTCTGACGAGCCCATAGACATCAGAAAGTGAACGCCGCTACTCGCCTTGAGACATGAGGTCGTGAAGTTCAAATGGATTGCATAACGACAGCCTCATCATTTAAACTGAAATACTTGACTGCTTCGCTGGACAAAGAGACGATATTTTTGTAGCCACCAGTGCGAGGCCACAATATGCCCTACCAACAGTAATTACTCAACTCCTAATGCTACCCATCTTACCCAGTAGACTAACGAGGCTCATTTAGGTAAATCTATCACCGAAAATATACTTAAGGTAGGTGATTCCAGTTTACCACGGGAGCCCTCTTACTCTGACCGTCCAGCTTACCGCGGGAGCCCCCTTACTCTGACCGGGTTCTGACCCCGGACGGAGATTGGACTTCGGGTTTAAGAGTGCAGAGTAGTTGTTTAGTGCGGTAGGGCCCTAAAATGTTTTTGAGTCCACGGTCTGCTCCAAACATCTGCAGATCATGAAGTCCCACATACCCCCCAGGCCCCCTTGTCGACGGAGTTCTCGTAGGAGGTTTGGCCCCTGGCCCGAAAAAGGTGATTCCAGGTTAAGCTAGTATTAATTTTATATTCGGCTTTTTTGGATCGTTATCGCAATCGTGGCGAATTTCGCTCATACACATACAGGTGCCTGTCTGCCGTGCCTTTACTATGAGTATCTTACAAATTGCGAAGCTAATATATTTGAAATATTAAATATTTATAATTCGTTACATTCAAGTGTTGTAACAGATAAAAATGGGCGGAATTTTGTGATTAATAATCATTTTTTACAGTTTACTCCTAACATCTATAAAAAGATAGAATGAAGGATGATGGCGATCCATTTAATCCAGCGTACAAAAACAAATCAAGCAGATTCTAACGATACATTCTCGCTGTAATATTTTAAAACATTCATTTATTTCTACGTTTGTATTTTTCTTAAATGTAGCTTATCAAGATAACAATTATATTTTAAATATTAATCATTTAACAATAAAGTTCTATTTAACAATTTGTAATCTTCGACAACCCGGTTTCGTACTCCATTTATTTTTAAATTAAACATTGTTAAGGGAGGAGATACTTTAGATTATTCTAGAAATAAGAAAAACATTAATTTAGTATTTTTTTACTCTTCGTGAGATTCATCAAAACGTGTTAAAAATTTAACGAATTCATAGTGTCAATATTGTATACAAAAATGGTTTTTTTTTTAATTAGTTTTAAACTATATCTGACGGTTATAGGTGATAATTTTTTTCCCTAAACAGAAAAAGTAGTAAGAAATTTTGAACAAAATATCAATTTAAAAAAAAACTACTAGTATTCATTTTGAATCAACATTGTATTGTATGTATGAATCAACATTGTATGGCTAAAATGGTTTAAATTTTCTTAGTCTATATCCGAACTGCTTTGGGTATCTAAATTATCTAATAACGTGCACACGTTACACATTTTACCAATTCAATTTAAACGCAGTTTGACTCTTCGTTTCTAAATAGATCTTCTTTAGCAACAAAGCCTTTTTTAATTAATTACATTCATTGACTCTAAAGTATCTCCTCCATACAGCCAACGGATTATCTAAGCACCCGCATTATATGCAGCTCTCTCGTACTTTCCCGACTGTGGCGAGGTTGTCGCGGCGCAAATGTGCGACCGTCGCATTACAGACGCTCGACGATATATCTGAACTCCGCGCTGTTACTCCACGGTTCACTCTAATACTTACCGCTGACTGAAAAAGTATTTTATTGGTTGTCAATAAGACGACTACCCATAATGAGGGATTATTGAGTATCTATCCTGTCTATCTATATCTATCCTATCCTTACCCACTCCTTGAACCTATTTAAGTTTAGATTCCTTCAAAACTACTGTTGTCTTTCCATCTACCTGTCCATACTTTTCATTGGAAAGAATAGAATGATTTCCTTATGTAGTTGTATTAATGGCGTCGATACACTGATTAGCACATGGCTAGTTCTTCGACCCACCTACGTATTTTTGTAAAATAACATTTTATCAACCATCCCCTTTTATGAAGATATCGGCAAACAAAAAGCGGAGAGTAAACACCACCTTCGTTCCCAAAGGAAATTCATATCGAATCAATCATAATTCTCCTCGAGCCTATCCATATTTTAAAAAAGAAATAAATTTATTTAGGAAGAATCACCCATATTCTTATGTGGAAAATCTATTAAAATATGATTTAAAATAATCATTAGACCGTTATATTGTTACTGGAGCCTATAGACATCTACAACGTGAATGCGTTTCTCAAGGTGGGTGGCGGCATTTCATTTAAGGTCGCAGTTTTTACAGTACAACGGCTCCCTTCAAATTGAAACGCATTACTACTTCAGTAGCAGGCAGAGTGGTGGTACCTATCCGTGCGGACTCCCAAGAGGTCCTACCACCAGTAAATTATATTCCTTATACATATGTTACGCTAAGTGAACGCTATTCCTTATACCTATGTTTGCTCAGAACATATCCACACTGAACACATCATTTCGGTGGTAGGACCTCTTGTGAGTCAGCACGGGTAGGTACCACCGCCCCGCCTATTTCTGCCGTGAAGCAGTAATGCGTTTTGGTTTGAAGGTTGGGGCAGCCGTTGTAACTATACTGAGACCTTAGAACTTATATCTCAAGGTGTGTGGCGCATTTACGCTGTAGATGTCTATGGGCTCCAGTAACCACTTAACACCAGGTGGGCTGAGAGCTCGTCCACACATCAAAGCAATAAAAAAAAAAATCCAATATACAGAGCTATTATGATCCAATAAATTATACAGGCACTCCAATGAAGAGAGTCTTCAAAACGCAATATGATTTAAGAAAAAAACAAAAGTATTTTATACTTGTTGTACATATTTTTGGGCCTCGCTTTGGGTCTCAATGCATAGCAAAGTCATTGTTACCGCGAAACGAGGTCGCGAAGTACCCCGCAGCATATCGTAAGCGCACCGGCATAATAACTAGAATCGTTCGAGAAAAACAATTTCAGTGAAATCACTTGCTCTTGTATCGAGGGAGGCTGTTACGTTTTTGTGTTCACGAGGTTGTACTTCTCTCCTAATAGTCAGAGTGCTTCGGGATATTAAACGGTATTTTAATCTATTCTTTTTTTTAGGTTTTGTTTTGTCTCGACTGAATCAAATTTTTGTTATGAATGTTTTTTGAAAACTAACCGAAGGCAGTATCTTTAATGACATTTAGTAGTGAGATATATAGCTCTATGACTTCTGTTTTAACGAGGTTTTAAAAAGTCACTGTAGTGGCCAGCAGCATGCCTGTGTGTGTCCTTGGCATCCCTGATGTTCGTCAGTGATGGCGACCACTCATCAATAGGTAAGCCGTATCTTCGTTTACTGGTGGTAAGACCTCTTGTGAGTCTGCACGGGTAGGTACCACCACCCTGCCTATTTCTACCGCTAAGCAGTAATGCGTTTCGGTTTGAAGAGTGGGGCAGCCGTTGTAACTATACTGAGACCTTAGAAATTACATCTCAAAGTGGGTGGCGCATTTACGTTGTAGATGTCTATGGGCTCCAGTAACCACTTAACACCAGGTGGGTTATGAACTCGTCCACTCATCTAAGGTATAAAATCTTCGTCTGCCTTCGTAGGGAATAAGAACATAGTTTAAATTACATAGGGTAATAGAATTAATTACTCACGGCACTGGCAGGTATGCTAGTTTTTTCACTGTACATGCTGAGAGCATCACAGTCTACACCAATCCCTAATTTGGTGTAATCATTTATTGATCTCTTATCTGTAACAAGAAAACATTTTAATACGGTACCACACAATTTTTTCTCCATTGATAACCTTTCATATGAGCTTTTTTTGAAAACTTCCGGAAAACGTAATCTTCAAACAACATACGCTTTTGAATTATGTATACACAGGAATATTTACTTGACGTAAATATTTTGTAGAATATAGAACGATTCTTTTTTTTTTTTTATTGCTTAGGTGTGTGGACGAGCTCACAGCCCACCTGGTGTTAAGTGGTTACTGGAGCCCATAGACATCTACAACGTAAATGCGCCACACACACACACCTTTCTGCCCAAAGATATATGTATGTCACTTGTCAGAAAGTAGTCACTGCCTTTAATGGCGGATAAATTATTCCTTTGCCACTTACCAAGGCAATGAAATAGATGAGAAACTTTATCAATTGTTTCACGAAAAAAAAACGAAGGTCTAAGCTGCTTTATTGTCAGAGATAGCTTTATGTATTGAATTTTTTTTTATTGCCCTTTTAGGCAGACGAGCATACGGCCCACCTGATGGTGAGTGGTTACCGTCGCCCATGGACTTCAGCAATGCCAGGGGCAGAGCCAAGCCGCTGTCTACCGTTGAGTACTCTCCACAAGCCTCGTAATAATTTTTTTAATAAATTCGTAACTTCTAAAAAATAAACGCTCCGCTTAGCTCACCGTGATGACATGGTATGATGTCGGGGTCCGTTTCTTCCCCCGTGTCGGCTTTCAACTCATACTGGCTGCAGTACTCCAGCTTCGGAGACGCACAGTACGTGTTCAAATTATCCTGTTTCGATAATGATTCAACGCTGTGCTCCATGTAGAGACCGCTCCTGATAAAATCGCTCATATTATACATACCCTCCGTCATAACAGGACCAGAACATTCGTTTTATCATCTTCAAATACACAGTCATAGAAAAACATTTGCGGTTTTTGTACAGGTACAAAAAAAAAACCTATTGTCTTGGTCCCGGACTTGTACTAACAGGCTTTAGAGCGTTAAGCCTTGTTCGGACTAGGCGAGTATTTTAGTCGAGTACCGAGTAATTTAGTAGCTAAACTACTCGATACTGGCCGAAAAAATAGAACAAAATGGATTGACTTGACTAAATTATTTACTAACCTACTCAACAAAATTTTTGGTGCTCAGACACATTTAGCTACTAAATTACTCGGTACTCGACTAAAATACTCGCCTAGTCCGAAAAAGGCTTTAGATGGGTGTATAGGTATCGAAGCAATTAGTCAATACTATGGACTTTGCACCTACACACCCAAACTCCATTCCGAAGCCCGAGATAGAACTGTGGTTTGTTATTTGTTGTTCGCATTCGCGGGGTATTTTCACTCGGAATATATTATAGAAGTCAAAAACACTATTTGAATAATATCTATAATATTCAGATATATGTGTACAATAAAAAATATAATAAAAGAGATACAAATTAAAACTAAAATTCCATTTTTTTATCGAACTTAAATAGGCGCGCGAATCTTGTTGATTGACGTCACGGGACACCTGCGCGTTCGGGAACTCCGATCGCGACCGATGACGCCCGAGTGTTACCGAATGTTGCACGCTACAAACTCGGAAAGGGCGGGGCTGTATAGCGCTGGCTTGCAATAATTAACGCTACTTTCCGCTGGGACGTCAAACGGCAATCGACGGTATACGACTCCCGGTTCTCTCAGTCGATGAGCTGTCCAACACCTGACCGACCACAGACCGTACTACACCCATACGCACATAGCACGAGCAACTTCGACATCTGTCACTAAAATAGAACACCGTCCGCCTTAATCTCATCATGTACTTCAAACTTTTTACTGGTGGTAGGACCTCTTGTGAGTCCGCGCGAGTAGGTACCACCAACCTGCCTATTGGAGCAGTCGTTGTAACTATACTAAGACCTTAGAACTTATATCTCAAGGTGGATGGCGCATTTACGTTGTAGGTGTCTGTGGGCTCCAGTAACCACTTAACACCAAGTGGGCTGTGAGCTCGTCCACCCATCTAAGCAATTAAAAAAAAAAACGAGTGTCGCCGTAGTTTTACGTGTGCAAACCTAAAAATAAGTTGAATGTAATTAAAAGAAAAACTCTCACGCGGAAGGCGGTTGCTTATCAAGGTCGTGTCTTCTGACAGCATGTCGTCTGTACAGTGCCGTGATCACAGCACACACTCCGGTGCACAGCATCGCTGTCACAGCCAGCAGGGACACCAGCATCGGCGACCAAGGGATGGCGGTGCTCACACCTGGATTGGGAACCACCAGACAAAATTGAAAGGTAACGGTGGTAATAAAAATGTAATTTAGTATAATAAAAAACAAACCCACAAAATTATAATTTGCGTAATTACTGGTGGTAGGACGTCTTGTGAATCCGCACGAGTAGGTACCACCACTCTGCCTATTTCAGCCGTGAAGCAGTAATGCGTTTCGGTTTGAAGGGTGGGGCAGCCGTTGTAACTATATTCAGACCTTACAACTTACATCTCAAGGCGGGTGCCGGCATTTACCTTATAGATATCTATGGGCTCCGGTAACCACTTAACACCAGGTGGGCTGTGAGTTCGTCCACCTATCTAAGCAATAATATCATTTTAATTGCATTAAAAACTTAAGCAGTCGATGAGGTACTTCAGGGATACAAGTATTTCATAATATATTTAGGGAAGATTACAGCGTAGCATATCATTACTTCACTAATCAGAAGTCAGATATTTCATGAACAATCTGTTATCTCGACAAATTCACATGAATATTACGTACTCCTTAAGTAAACATTGAACGGTTTCAATCTTGTATATTTAAAGGGAAAAGGGTTCTGGTATTTTCTTAGGTTTTAATGTACATTATTTACAGAGAGAAAAAACAGATTTTTTTAGTTAAAAACATAAATATAGGAGACCTAATAATATACACAGATATACCTATCGACGTCAATTGCACTAGTTGATTGTTTTGTAATTAGTTATGGACCACATCATACCTCATCACAAAACCACAGCAAATATTAAATATTAGCAACGAAATATTAGCAACGCAGTCAAATCAATTCAAAGTGATTGGCAAGGCTTGATATTGATACTACTTTTTATTTTATTGCTTTGTTGGGTGGACAAGCTCACAGCCCACCTGGTGTTAAGTGGTTACGGGAGCTCATAGACATCTACAAAGTAAATGCGCCACCCACCTTGAGATATAAGTTCTAAGGTCTCAGTATAGTTACAACGGCTACCCCACCCTTCAAACCGAAACGCATTACTACCCGTGCGGACTCACAAGAGGTCCTACCACCAGTGAGAAATACTTTTTACTATCTGATATAGTAACATAATTAGCTTGACTAATTCTTTCTTTAAAATAGTAAAGCATTTTCTGACTAAGTAGATCGGCTCCGATAGCCACTTGCTAACAAATTGGTGAGGTATATCTACACAATATGTACAACAAATAGCATGACGCGACTTCAGTAGTTGAAAAAAAAAACTATTAAAAGATACTGATGGCGTCTAGTAGCCCTAGTAGGTATCACTGCCCTGCCTATTTCTGCCGTGAGGCAGTAATGCGTTTCTATTCTATACGAGTTTGACAGTACAACGATACTGTCAAACTGAGAGTTATAACTCATGTATCAAAATGGGTGGCGGTATATACGTTGTTAACGTTAATTAGTTTTTAAGCTATTGCATAGCTTCTATCGCGGGCCTTGAGCGCGGCGACTGAAGCAAGAAATTTCGTAACGAAAATAACCCGACACCCCCACTACGCCTGCTATGTAGCTCGCGTTCAACACATTCACAAGTTACGCTGGTGTAGTGTTTGTGAATAAGCGCGCGGCGTGACGTCGCACTGCATGAGCATCATGAAAAGTCTGCCCATCTCTCCCTCACGCGGTCCAGCTTATGAGTGTGAAGGGGACAATTATGTTTTTCTTTTGTTAATGTTTATAAATATAGCGTGATCTTATTTTTATTATTGTTTTAATTTTAAATTATTATTGTCTAATTGTAATTGCATAAGTTGATAAAAAATGCTTTGCAATAGCTTTAACGCGGCAGTCCCCGAGTGCCACACCACCTTTTTTTTCTATTTTTTTTTTTAGCTCTCCTATGCAGACGAGCATATGGCCCATCTGATGGTGAGTGGTTACCGTCGCCCATGGACTTCAGCAATGCCAGGGGCAGAGCCAAGCCGCTGCCTACCGAACCGTAACCAATTAAACCGCCGTACCACTTAAAATCAGATGAGCCGTAAGCTCGTTCACCCATCTTAGCAATAAATAATAAAGATAATTTCTCAAATGTCCCACCTGTGTATTTATCCGGAGGTCGTATTGCAACGGTATACAGTGTGACCTCTTCACCTCTGCCCTTAGCGTTGGCCGCATACAAGACCAGACTGTAGCTTATCCGACTGTCCAGACCTTGAACTTCAAAGCTAGGAGTGCTATTTGAGGTTATATTTGCCCTGACCTAAAGAGCGAAAAAAAAAACATATTTACACTTTCGTTCTTTTTTAATCCAAAACAGTTTAGGGATGACGACGGAGGAAAGGTCTTCCACCAAGCGAGTGAATTTCCTCGGTAGACCGACGCCCTAAATGTTGTTGTTTGAAACATTTACATATATAACACCTCCTTATCCGACATCAGATCCAATAACCCCTGCATTAGACGCCTTTAGCTCTAACACTACGAGTAGGGACCCCGGTAACCGTACTTGTCAAACTCGGCAAAGAGTTCGACGTGCAACCTAACCTAAACATCAAGCCGCTGAGTTTCTCGCCGGATCTTCTCAGCGGGTCGCGATTGCGATCCGGTAGTAGATTCATTCGGGAAACAGCTGCTCTTGAGTTGTTAGGTCTCCCAACTCTCTCTCTCTTGTTAAATCCCAACCCTCCTGGCTGAGCCCTTGCTCGCCCACCTGTTCAGGTGAAATTGGAAAGGCCTACGAGCCACCAGTAATCTTTTTTCGAAAAAGCTATACTTTTTTGAACACACATAATTTTTTAACATGCAAATTCTTGTCAGAACAGCAGCCTCCAATATTACGAATTCTATAAAAGATTAAGCAAGTTAAAATACTGTAAACCTTTTTTTATTGTATAGAGGAATGAATGAGCTCATGGCCCGCTTGTTTTCAAGAGGCCTAAAACATCACAATAGGACGATATGAATGCTGACTCCCATCTATCTCTCATCAAACGACAAAACTGATTGTTTTATTGCTTTAATAATTTCTTCAAAGATTTAATTGCGAGCCGAGTTCCGTCACTATTCTATGCCACGAGTAGGAAAAAAACCCTGCTCTAAATTTGCAACGTGCTAGCCGGGTTATTAAATTAAATGGAAATCTAGTTTTCTGAAAGCTTGATTGAAAAAAAACGTGAAGAATACGGATGCAACATTTGATTTCCAAGCATCAATCATTATTTACCGGAATCACTCAAGGAAGATTTCACAGCGTCCCATTATCTCACACTTACACTAAAGAAGCACTTAACTCTAGAATTTAATTATTCACTGCTTTTATAATCACCGATGAAAGACGCTTTACAGACATTAGCATCTCATTAAAATCTCTAAGGCTCATAAGTGATTCTGACTAGTTTCACTATCAAAGGAAATGCTACTTTAAAACGCTAAGCCGAAATACTAATTTTCTTTTGATACTGACGAGAGGAAAAGTCATCCATATATGAAAACTTGTTATGCCACCGTCGCCCTATTGAAAAATATAAATTACATATTACGAATATAATAGTTTATGTACATATGTGTTTAACGTTATATCGCGTATTGGTTTAAATAAAATATTAGATTTCAGATATTGAAAAATATTTTCGAAGTGATAAAAGTCGAAGATTTATCAGAGAACTGTTGCTTTAGAGAGTTACTCTCATTTTTCCATCACTATTTTTATCGTTATATGTGAGTAAAAAGGCCCAAAGCCTACCTGCTACTAAGTAGCTACCACAGCTAATGGACTTCGCTATGTGATTTCCGTATTTTATATCTGACTTTCGCAATAATTCCTATTGTGATTTAAGCATTGACTACGTCTTTTTTTTATTGCTTAGATGGGTGGACGAGCTCACAGCCCACCTGGTTTTAAGTGGTTACTGGAACCCATAGACATCTACAAAGTAAATGCGCCACCCACCTTGAGATATAAGTTCTAAGAACTCAGTATAGTTACAACGGCTGTCCTACCCTTCAGACCGAAACGCATTACTACTTCACGGCAGAAATAGGTAAGGCGGTGGTACCTACCCGCGCGGACTCCCAAGAGATCCTACCACCAGTGAAGGATATCTCCATACTTCCATTGTACATGGCTCTTTTGTGGTTTACGTGGACAGCTATGTACAGATATATAGGTTCTACACCACTCTCTACCTCTAACTTTGAATAAAAGACACATATAGCTTTGGATGGAAACTGGAGACGCATTTACATGCTTTCAGATTACACGTGCCATGAGCGGGCCACGTTAGACATGTAAATAGGCTGTTTTAAAAGTCTGCGAGAGGCGAAACAGATTCTATTCTTGTTATTGGTTTCGTAAAGTGGCTTTTCAAAACGTAATTTCGCGAGTAAATTGCATATTCGACAGTCCAAACACGAACTGGTAATCTTTCGATATTAAGATATTTATATAGACGTTATTGAAATAAGAAAATCGTGAGTTGTACAGGAATAAATTTGATTTGAAAAGGTCGTAGCGCTATATAAAAAAATGTAGTAGCTTTTTTGTCGGTGCCGATATTCTGGGACCGGACTGACGAGCCGATCCAACGGTATTCGCCAACTCATGATGGGACATATAGTAAGCCACACGGGCAGCTGCTACTACTGGTCTCTTAATGCGATATGTTCCGTTTTGATGGACAGGAACGCCATTTTTTTTTCTATTCATCATAAAAAGTACATACTTGTTGAACGTCAAAAGAACTACCGCCAATTGATAAAAACTAGCCTCCGTCCTGAGAAGAATTGGCAAGAAACTCAGCGGGCATGTCTTTTTTTTTAATTTTTTTTTTTTTTTTTAATATTAGACTTTTTTAAATATCAATTTTTACAATGAGTATGATAATGTAACAATTATTACAATATTGAAATGCCCGGAGCGAGAACTCATTCTCACTTTTTGCAATCTTCTAGATAATCATTGACTTTATAGTAAGCTTTATTGCACAAATGTTCTCTAATAGTTTTCTTAAACCTATGTTTATGTAGGTTCTGAACATCTTGTGGGATTTTGTTGTACAGGCGCACAACATTGACTCCTCGATCATGAACATTGAATACTCGATCGAGGCTTCGAATCTGTGACTCAAGATAAAACGTCTTTGGACTGCAGTGCCTATATAATATCAGGTCGATCTTATCTTTGCTGTTCTTGGGATGCCGTGATACAGGTACTTGGGATTGTCGGAATTTAAGTCCTCAACATTTTTAGTAACAGAAATATTTTAGTATCGGTTAAAAATTTATATATACCTAAAATTATATAAAGGTATATAAAAATGAATTGCTGTTCGTTAGTCTCGCTAAAACTCGAGAACGGCTGGACCGATTTGGCTAATTTTGGTCTTGAATTATTTGTGGAAGTCCAGAGAAGGCTTAAAAAGTATGAGTAGTAGAAAATATGAAAATGCTCGGAATTAAATAAAAATAACAATTTTGTTTTTCCTTTGATGTGTCCCCCGTCGGACGGATTCCTTTTGTTTGTTTTAAATTTATTTTATACAAAAGCTTAGGTCTTTTATTTATCTATTGAGGCACTACGAAGTCTGCCGGGTCAGCTAGTCGTTAATAATAAATAACGGTTCACTTATTAAGGGTGTCTACTATTTATTATGAAGCGTAACAATCAACACACAACAACGAATCTAGTTTAAAATTGTAAAAGATATAGGATATGATTTGAAAAATAATAAAATTCAAATATTACGGTCATAGCCGGGAGTTCCAAGACCTCCATGAAGAAAACCTGCGGGAGCCCTCCGTCGAAGCCTTCCGCGCATTCCACTTGTAAACTGGCCGAGCTCTGGTTCGCCACTGAACAGTTGTGGAGTGCCGTCGGCTGTCCTACAACAATAGGGAACAGTATTTACAAACATATAAATAAATAAATACATATAAATATTTACTAACAATCACGCCACGTTAACTGGTCCCGTGATAAGTTCGTAAAGTACTTGTGTTACAGGTACCAGATAACGGAAATAAATGTAAGATTTTTATTATACACATACATATATTTAAGATACATCCATAACCCTGGAAAAGACATTTATATTTATCATACAAATATCTTCCCTTGGCGGGATTCGAACCCGCGACCCCCTTGTGTAGTGACCATGTCACTTACCACTACACTAGACCGCCGTTTGGAAATTTAGGCACAGTTTACGAACAATTATCAAGTTTTTCCTTTGTTCGTATCGATTATATTATAATATGTAAATTTGGGCTTAGATTCTTATATTTTTTTTCAGTTATACCTTCAGACTATACTCACTAAGCTGTGATATCAGTTGACTGAGTGTATAGTCTACTATGAGGCCTCATGGATAGGTACCACAATCCTGCCTTTTCTGTCGCGTAGACATTCGTTCTGGTTTAAAGAGTGGAAAAGATGTTATACATAAAAAACACATCTCGTTCTGATGAAAATTACTTAACCAAGTTTTTCGTAACAGAATTGGTGCCGATTTCAAGGAAATAAACCGCGAAATTGTTGCATCATACATCAACTAACTTATCCATTCGGCCATGACGACTTCACAAAAGTAGAATATTTAGCTTACCTGCCGCAATCAGCTTGTAGACGCAAGGGGTCTTCTGCCTTCCCACTGTGTTAGTTGCCATGCAGAGTATCGTGCCGAAATCCATTTCAGAAGTCGGAGTGTAACGAAGATTCGAAGTGAAGCCAGCTGATGTGTACGTGCTAAAGAAAACGCAATATAATTACAATCCATTCCCTTGGAACATTAATAAATAACTAGGTGATGACCGAACTTCGCTCGTTTTTTTTTTATAACGCCATCTTGTTGTATCTTTAAAACGGTTAGTTGCCCTCAATTAAGAAAAATAGTATTATTATTCGCCAATAGATGTCGGGAAGGGTTGATTCTTAAAAACACGAATAAAACAACATTTTCTGAAAATAAATCGTAACTAGATCGATTTATCGCCCCCGAAATCCCCTGTATACAAAATTTTATGAAAATCGTTGGAGCCGTTTCCGAGATTCAGATTATATAAGTATATATTAATTTACAAGAATTGCTCGTTTAAAGGTATATGATAAGCAAGCAAATTTCAATCTTTCTAATACTTTTAGGTGCCTTAGTATAAGCTCAATAACTTTATAAAAAAAACTATGTATTTCTAAAAAAATATACAGACGCTTATTTCAAGCTTTGTACGTATTTTTGTTAATTTTTAGATAGAGCTTAATCTTGGTTAAGCCGATTTTCACGAAAAATTCAGTGCGATATGATTTCTATGAAACGGATTTAAGATTTTTATTGTATACATGTTTAGAGTTTCTGTGTAAAGCTAAAAAAATTAAAGCTTTATCATCGAAAACATGATAAAGCTTTAAGCTTTTTTTAAGCAACAAAAACACTTATTACTTCGCAGCCAGCTCCGTTTGGTCGCCAGAGCTATTGAAGATCCAGCTGAAGCTGGTGGGAGCCGGGCTGGAGTCAACAGCACAATTCAAGGTCACCGTCTCTTGTTTCAAAGCGCCGTACACTTCTCCTTCGTTTATTGTTTTGCACACTGGAGCATCTGGTAACAAGTACATTTTATTAATATGACTAGCTTTTGCCCGTGTATTCGTCCGCGTGGAATAGTTACTTTGGCGTATATCTACATATAGTGTATCATCTCCCGTCATCGTCATCAGCGATCCCCTCATCTCCTTTTTAACATCGAACCTCCCGCCATCGGAGCAGAGTTCATCCATATTATCTGAAACCGCTGCGTTCATCGACAGTGCGTTTCCAAAGATGTTTTCTACCACGCACCATCCGGCTTTGGAATGAACTCCCCTCCACGGTTGTTTTCCGAGCGCACGGTTGTTTTGACATGTCGTTCTTCAAACGAGGCTTACGGAGAGTACTTAACGGTAGGCACTGGCTTGGCTCTGCCCCTGGCATTGCTGACGTCCATGGGCGACGGTGACTACTTACCATCAGGTGGGCCGTATACTCGTCTGCCTACAATGGCAATAAAAAAAAAGCGTAAACTCACAAAAGGGAAAAATACCCCGATTTTGAAACATTCTTTATTGGTGCTCCACTTGGTCCTATTGGTCCTATTGGTCTTAGCGTGATGTTACATAGCCTTCCTCAATAAATGAGCTATCTGATACTGAAAGAGTTTTTCAAATCGGACCAATAGTTCCTGTGATTAGCGCGTTCAAACAAACAAACTCTTCAGCTTTATAATATTAAGTATAGATTTTAATAAAACCCTTAAAAACAGAACTTCCTATAACAATTCGTTTAAGGAATCACAGCACATCCGGTTTCATCATGAAACTATTTAAATTTTCATAGGAAACAAATACAACGGCAATAAATTTTAAAAGAGGATCCATTTAATCACACAAGGAAAGGGAAAAACTTAAGGGAATACCGAAATAACCTTCTAATACACTATCAAGTCAACTTACACCTTATCAACAAAGACACAGGGTTGCTAGTGGCACTTCCTTCGCTGTTATATGCTAAACAGCTATAGTCTCCGGCGGCTGATCGGCTGACGCTTTGCAGCACCAGACTTTGGTCGCTGAGAATGATTCCAGAACTCGCGTTATGTTGAATCTCTTTAGTCTGAAAGAGATATACGTCGTAAGTCGGCGTCCAGCCTAGCCGCTGCCTACGACACAGATCTCCGGCTAAGCTTAACCTCAAGCATAGCTGAAGTCTGTAAACGACAGTGGCCTCCCACCATCACCTGGGAAGTCATAATATAGTTTACTCGTGGGAGGACGTCTTGTGAGTCCGCACATTGTAAATATACTGAGACCTTAGAACTTACATCTCAAAGTGGGTGGCGGCATTTACGTTGTAGATGTCTATGGGTTCCAGTAACCACTTAATACCAGGTGGGCTGTGAGCTCGTCCACCCATCTAAGTAATAAAAAATTAAAAAATAAATCGTGTAGCGGCGACCTCATAAAAATGCTCTGCGATGAGGTACAGGCTAATTAATGATGGAACAGCCAGATGGTTCTTGAACTTATTGGCCTATCTACAACCGCAACTACCAAAATTATAGTTGTAGAGTAACATAATATGTCTTTCTGATGTCATCAAAATTGTTATATAATTGCTTGCCATTTATTCAAGAATTAATCAAACTTACTCCTTTATACCAAGTGAGCTTATGCGTCTTCGGGTTTGCTTTTACAATGCACTCGAAGTAGACGTCGTCACCTTCCTTGATATGGGAAGGATTAAGGGTAGATCCGAGTTTCAAAGTCACTATAGGGACATCTGGCAACAAAAATAAAAATAGTTTTCTTTTTTATTATCGTCTTATATTTTTTTTCAGGATTAACAAGTATTTTGGATTACTGCTAAGATTAAAATGTTTTGAATTCGAATAAAATTAGTCCAAAAACCAAGAGAACATAATTTTCTAACTTCTAACAAAGTCGCAGCCGTACTCGTTTTAAAACGAGAATATAAACTTTCCACAGAAAAATCATGAATAGTCTGTTTATCGTATGAGAATTCATTTGATTTTTTTTTTCTTTGCATAGCAGGAAAATCAAGCTCGCAGTTCGCTTGGTGTGAAGTAGTTCAGGAACACACAGACTTCGTAAAGCCTAGATTTTCATATACCTAAATTATGGGACGTGTATATCATTTCACCCACCTTTCAAACCGGTAGGCACCACTGCTTCGTAATAAAAATAGACAGTGATAATATGCATATATATCTATTTCGCCAGTGAGGGTTCATTGTGTCCTACCACTCATAATAAATATCAGTAATCTGTCTATATATATAAAAATGAATTGCTGTTCGTTAGTCTCGCTAAAACTCAAGAACGGCTGGACCAATTTGGCTAATTTTGGTCTTGAATTATTTGTGGAAGTCCAGAGAAGGTTTAAAAGGTAGATAAATATGAAAATGCGCGGAATTAAATAAAAATAACAATTTCGTTTTTCCTTTGATGTGTCCCCTTGATGTGTCTTTTATTTATCGATTGAGGCACTACGAAGTCTGCCGGGTCAGCTAGTTTATAATAAATAAAACTTACAACTTAGCAGCAATTTCAAACTATTGATTCCACTATAAATACATATAGTTCTCTGACTACACGAAAGAATATAAAACAGTAAAGAAGTGCCTTATAAAACAGGTAAATATGAGTTGAAGAGTACGAACTTTGTCACGACACCTGAGCGTGGAAACAAACGACAGTTCTGAAATTTTATTACGAGTCCGTGCGAAGCAAGCTCTCTCTCTCTCTCTCTCTCTCTCTCTCTCTATTCGCAATTATTCTTCGAAAGTTTACTGTCGTTGCGACATAAAATAATTTCAACGTCTATTATATTTTACTCTTTGATTTACACAAGACTGACTTTTGTGTGATACTGTTTTATTTTCGTGTTCCTTTCGTTCCGTCCATGCTCGAATGAAATTTTATGAAGTTACTTTTGAAAAGATAATTTCAAAAGCCGTGAACAAAGAAAAACCTAGCTCAATGAAAAAGTATAATATTTAGTTATTGTTTATTGTACACAGAAATATTACACCAAAAGGGCGTGATTTAAAATAGAGTGTATGAAGTTTTGAAGTCGTCGTGGCCTAAGGGATAAGATGTCCGGTGTATCGTGTTGAGCGATGCACCGGTGTTCGAATCCCAAGCGGGTATCAATTTTTCTAATGAAATACGTACTCAACAAATGTTCACGATTGACTTCCACGGTGAAGGAATAACATCGTGTAATAAAAATGAAACCCGCAAAATTATAATTTGCGTAATTACTGGTGGTAGGACCTCTTGTGAGTCCGCGCGGGTAGGTACCACCACCCCGCCTATTTCGGCCGTGAAGCAGTAATGCGTTTCGGTTTGAAGGGTGGAGCAGCCGTTGTAACTATACTTGAGACCTTAGAGCTTATATCTCAAGGTGGGTGGCACATTTACGTCGTAGATGTCCATGGGCTCCAGTAACCACTTAACACCAGGTGGACTGTGAGCTCGTCCACCCATCTAGCAATAAAAAAATGAACAATATTTAGAAAACAATTAGTTTATTGAACTCCAAAAAACTGTGGCTTATACGTGTAACGTTTGAAGACTAAATTATTGATCGTCGTGCAGAAGAAATAAGAAATAAACGAGAAAGGAACGGAGAAGGTGGCATAGACCTGTGCGATAAAACCTAGCGCTGAGTTCATCTTTTGATTAATACATTTAACCTGGATGGCTATGATCAAGCCGCTTAAAATATTATTACTTTGGCTTAATATATTGAAAAATAAATAATAGTTTAAAAATACTAACAAAATACGATTTCATAGAAAATCCAACTAAAAAATTTAAAATAAATTTTAATAAATTTGAATTAAAAATAGTGTAAGAAAAAATGATTTTATTGTATAAAAGCGTGGGGTGCATGGTATCAGTAGTTTTTTTCTAACTATTATTTATTTTTCATTTTTAATTGAATTACAATTTTTTTAATTTTTTTTTTCATTTTTTTTCTTTTATATTTAATTGTCATCGGTTCTTAATAAGTATACCAAATTTCGAGTAAATCCGACGTTTTGAAGGGGGTCAAAATCATGTTCAAAGATTCCTTTACATACATACGTCTGAAACTCATAAAAGCGTATTAAAAAATACAAAATACTTTCCAAAATGAAAAAACCCTCATCTCAAGGTGAATTACATCTTCGGGGCTTACGTTTAATCTTGATGGGTTATCTGTCAAATGCAAATAAAATCAAATCTGTGAATAGAAGTTTATTTTCACCTGATTTCTTCATTGCTTCCTCGCTTATAAAGTTTTCCAAGTTGAAGCAGCAAGTTTTTACAGCCTTCCAAAACATCTTCAGTAAATGGATGTAAGATTGTAGAAATTTAATTAAGAGGGGCCACTTAAAATTATTACGTAGACTTAACCGTTGGATCATTTTTCTGAACACTTGCTTGTGTTCCCATAATGGAAATTCTTGTAATCTTTATATTAAAGTCATTTAATTTAAGACAGATTTTAATTGGACAATTTACTAATCAAAATATTTCATCTTCTCGTAATATACGCGAGCAGATGAACATTATTAGATCACAATCACAAATCGTGACGCCATTTCTACCCGAAAATATGAGTACTCATACGCACTCACAAGCAAATAATATAGGTACTCCATGCTTGACTTATGTAAATTTTTGGAATTTCCAATATTATTTTACTAGCTTTTGCCCGCGACTCCATCCGCGTGGAAGATTTACACTTTGACATAACGCTAAATTTTACCCCCACTTCATTTACGTAGAAAGTGAAAATATTTTTGAATTGTAGAATGTTAAGGAGCTATTTAAACCCTTATTTTGAAACATTATTTATTGGTGCTCCACTTGTATTGGTCTTACCATGATGTTATATAGCCTATATATAGCCTTCCTCAATAAATGGGCTATCTAACGCTGAAATATTTTTTTAAATCGGACCAGTAGTTTCTAAGATTAGCGAATTCAAACAAACAAACTCTTAAGCTTTCTAATATTAGTATAGATGTGATCATTGTCAAATTTGCTGTCTCTTAAGAGGTAAATCGACATGCCATTGTCACTGGTACACGTACATTTAACACATTTAACAAAGTAAAGTATTTAAGAAATTATAGCCCAATTAAGATACCATGCACTGAAAAACTAAGAAGCATCTCTGAAAACAAACCATCCTCTCTACATCACAAAGACTTGTGTAGTACGTATTTTTTTAGGAAAATTAATGCCTGCTACAGCTCGATACGAATACGTATGGGCTTCTAAGCCACATATTCTACCTAATATCCGGCAACAAACACTAAACCACAAAATAAAGCCATGATTACTTGACTGTAACACGAAATTGGGCGTCCTCCAACCAGGTGGACTGACGACCTAGTGCGCACGGCGGGAAGTCGTTGGATGCGGAAGGCGGAGGACCGCATTATGTGGAAAGCATTGGGGAAAGCCTATGTCCAGCAGTGGGCAGATAAAGGCTGATGATGATGATGATGATGATGAACACGAAATTGGACACGTGATAATACACATCTGAAGATCTATTCGAATCTTTCTATATCGATATTAATCCAAGGTCATTTTACTCACAATGCACGTTCATTTTCCATTTGTCTTCTATAGATGATTCCACCACGCTGGGGTTCTCGGCGCGACAGACCAGGGTCTTCTCGTGGTCCTCGGCGACAGGCACAAACGTTAGGACGCTGGTCGTTGCGTTGCTCTCGGAGAACTGCGCAATTTTTTTAATTAATGTGGTTTTTTTTATAACCCTTGTAGGTAGACGAGCATTTGGCCCACCTGATGGTGAGTGGTTACCGTCGCCCATGGACTTCAGCAATGCCAGGGGCAGAGCCAAGCCGCTGCCTACCGATTAATACTCTCGACAAGCCTTGTTTGAAGAAGGACATGTCATAGCGCTCGGGAAACACCGTGGAGGAGAGCTTATTCCATAGCCGGATGGTACGTGGCAAAAAAGACCTCTGGAAACGCACTGTGAATAAACGCAGTGGCTCCAGGTAGTATGGATGAACTCTACTCCGGTGGCGGGCGGTGCGATGATAAAAACGAGATGCCGGTATCATCTCGAACAAATCCCCAGAGCACTCCCCATGGAACATACGGTACAAAATACAGAGGGAAGCGAAGTCCCTCCGCAGAATCACGTGTCTTGTTACTTATATGCTATTAGACAGCAGATCTTACGTGATAAAAGACTATCCAGTTATCAGTTATAATACGAGTATGCAATATTAATTCAAGCTGTAACTTGCAGCAACTATTCCGATGTAACGGTGTTCAAATCCCGCAGGCGGGTACCAATGTTTCTAATGAAATACGTACTTATTATTAATTGGTATTAATATTATTCCTTCACTGTGGAAATCAATCTTGAACAATTGTTAAGTACGTATTTCATTAGAAAAATTGGTACCCGCTTGCGGGATTCGAACACCGTTGCATCGCCTACATACGAATGCACCGAACGTCTTATCCTTTAGGCCACGACGACTTCATATCAATTTTTACCAAGATATGCGTAAATCGTCCTATTACGTTCTATTTATTATTTATCTATAAACAACTGCGTAAATATTTAATTAGTTTAAAGCATGAGATCTGTCTGTCAATTTAATTAAAATAAGATTTCGGAAGTCCAATTGACTTACAAATATTTGAATGAGTTATTAAACCTGAATTCCCTTGACAAATAACAAAGAATACACAATGAGCGATCGCCAAAGAAAGTCTTTGTCATTGCCTTTGACATAACGTCTCCTAACAATGAGAGCCACTCTCTGTAATTAATAAAACGTAATTAATTTCGGTACAACTGAATTTCAGAGATTCAAACAATGGTATGTATGTGTATGTATTGTCGATTTATCGAATTTTTGAAATTTAGTTTTCTGCTGATAGTACCTATCCTGTAAAGCCATGTAAATGAAGTTGCTATGCCAAAAATAATAGTTAAATAACACGCTTTTGTATAAAATCCACTAACTAACTAAAAGCTAAACTAAACTAAAAAAAACTAAAAACAGAAAATAAATTTATCGTATGATAAAAAAAGCGTTGGGTGCTTTTTATGATATTATCAATATCATATCACGCTTTTTTTACAATTAATTTATTTTCTCGTATTTAATTTGATTTTCTATAAGAGCGTGTTTTTTAGTTTCTCTAAATTATTATTTTATTTTTATTTTTTAGTTTAAATAGCATTATGTATCATAAATTATTAATTAACGTATAATACATTTACGCAAATACAACAGTTTCCAATTTGCTAAGGAAAAAAAAGAAGGCGCTCACATGAATTTGTTGTTTTGACTGCCGAAAGTAAATAACAAGTCTAACTATTTAAAATATTGAATAGCTATCGGTCCTTTATAAGTTGCCAAAATTCTAAAAGCGTATTAAAAGGATGCGACATTTAGAGTAGATTTTTAGGTAGTTGTCTTGACCTACAATATCAAACATTGATATGTGACGGCTATTACTTCCCATTAACTGTATGTCAATATCCCGTAATATGCCGCAAGGAAGACACAATGGTTGGGTAAATCAATATCTTTTGCGGCTCAATATCATATTGGGATTGTTCAATTTACCAAACCATTTTTACTGGTGGTAGGACTTCTTGTGAATCCGCGCGGATAGGTACCACCACCCTGCCTATTTCTGCCGTGAAGCAGTAATGCGTTTCGGTTTGAAGGGTGGGGCAGCCGTTGTAACTATAGTGAGACCTTATAACTCATATCTCAATGTGGGTGGCGGCATTTACGTTGTAGATGTCTATGGGCTCTAGATACACTTAAAACCAGGCGGGCTGTGAGCTCGTCCACCCATATAAGCAATAAAAAAAAACTTATGAAACTTCTTAGTTCATGCATAAGTATATATTTAACGGTACGAAGAAAGCTAACAGGTTACAAAGTTACAATTTTAATAACCTTTAACTCCGCGAAAAGACAATTGTGCTTCAAAGAGTTCCTTTGAATAATATACGATGTCGTTTCAAAACCGAAGCTATCTAGACAAAGTTGGACTAATTTGATAGTTCTCAACTTAATCAGAAAGCTTAAAGAGCTTATTAGGGTAAGCTGAAACTAAGACCGGGATAAGTTAGAAGGAAAAGTTCTGCTGATTCTCAACTTGGGATGCAACAAAGAAACGCCAATAATTTGATGAAGCGAGCTGAGAGAAAAGTTTGATCTCAACTTGAAAATTATCGCGACAAATTTACTGTTGTTGTCTAGCTAGATCATTTTAATATTCCATCCGTGAATAAAGGTGTTATTGTGTTGAAAGCTAAATACTATCCACCAAATGATGACTAATTATCTTTACGAACACTAATAATACCCACTACCTATCTCTGAATAGCCCAAACATAGAAGAATTTTTTTAGTGAGGGATCTAACAGGCCCCCTTTTGAAAACGAGTGGTGGCTTTGTCATTGCACAGTTAAAGGGAATATTTATTAAAATTCCGGGAACTGTCTCTCTACTGCAAAAGCATCTACGTCCAAAATGGTCGAGGCTTTAATATTCAAATAGTCTTCAATATTTTGTAGCAGAAATGGATGAAACTGTACCAGTAAGACAAAGTCCCACCGGCTCATATCGTATTCAATTACAAGTATATACTAAACTAGCTTATGCCCGCGACTCCGTCCGCGTGGAATAGTTACTTTGGCATAACGCTAAATTTTGCCTCCCACTTCATTTACGTAGAAAGTGAAAATATTTTGAAACATTCTTTATTGGTGCTCCACTTGTATTGGTTTTACCGTGATGTTATATAGCCTATAGCCTTCCTCAATAAATGGGCTATCGAACACTAAAAGAATTTTTTAAATTTGGCCAGTAGTTTCTAAGATTAGCGCGTTCAAGCAAACAAACTCTTCAGCTTTCTAATATTAGTATAGATGTGATCATTGTCAAATTTGCTATCTTTTAAGAGGTAAATCGACATGTCATTGTCACTGGTACACGTACATTTAACACATTTAACAAAGTAAAGTATTTAAGAAATTATAGCCCAATTAAGATACCGGGCACTGAAAAACTAAGTAGCATCTCTAACACACACTATCCTCCCTTCATCGCGAAGACGTGTGTAGTAGGTATTTCTTCAGGAAAACTAATGTCTTCAAATCAGACCAGTAGTTCCTGAGATTAACGCGTTCAAACAAACAAACTCTTTAGCTTAGATATAAGTATAGATAACTATGAGATAGATACATTTTTGGCTGCACTCCTTTTGTACTGTCTTCCACCTTTCCACCAGGTAACGTGAGCTTCGGGCCGGGATCCAGTAGTCTTGCATTCAAGTTCATAAGTCCTGTCTGCCGAAAGCTCCGGCCTCTTATTCAAGATCTGCACGCTGAGTGGCCTTACTGCAACAGACTAGAGTTTTAGTAACATTATTTTAAGCAAATGAGGGAGGGAGAAGGAGCCCTCTTCCTTTCTGCAGAAGTGAAAAAGGTTTATATATTCAAGGAGTCACTTTTAATGTCAGCAATTGTGTTCTTTACGGATCAACATAGTTACGAAACCATGAACTATAAAATTTTATATGTTAAACAAAATAAAACATATTGCTGGGTCATTCTCACTCTCAGATTATTAGAGTCTTAAATCACTGTGGAAACAGGACAAACGTATATTCGCAATTAGCCAAAAGCACAACTGTAGAATATAACATGATATGTTTTGTACAATTTTGCATAAGTAAATGTAACATATATTTTTGGAACGAAGTTCCTTATGGGACGATGCGGAGGGGTACCTTAACCGGAAAAAAACGTCCGTAACGTAAGATTTTTATTATTTATGTATAGTCTTAGTATGATGGCTGTACAGTGTCTAATTTATTATAGTCTACGTGATGACGGTTATTATTATTTCTATGATAGAACATAATTAGGCTTAATTATTATTATTCACATAAATAGCTGTTTCTTTGTATATTATTATTATATATTTATTATAAATCTTTGTGAATAAATTAAAGTTGATAACTTAAATTGTAAAGTAGTTTTTTTTTTATCAATAATAAAATCATAATAAAAAATGTATACCCGAATAATTATTTTCTATACGAGGGCTGCACTAAAAGTATCGGGAATGGAATATTTCCACTGTTCCTGTCATATTAAAATCTTTTTAATTGAAAACTCCTTGGTTTTAAAAATCGAATACCATTTATTTTATTTAAAAAAAGATTCTCGGTCTTGTCACGAGGTTTTGTCAAACTTGTTTAGTCGTTAAGAAAATGGAATTGACTCGAGAAAATTCAAGAGCGATGATTTATTATGACTTTCGAAGTGGTTTAACACAAAAACAGTGTGTTGACCGGATGATTTCTGCATTTGGTGATGAAGCCCCATCCAAAACCACAATTTATCGCTGGTTTGCTGAGTTTCAACGTGGACGTGTCAAACTCAGTGATGATCCCCGTCAAGGTCGTCCAAAAACTTCAGTCACCCAAGAAAACGTTGATGCTGTGCGTAAGCTGATTGAAGAAGATCGACATGTGACATACCGCGAAATTCAGGCAACTTTAGACATTGGCATGAGTCAAATACAAATAATCTTGCATAAACAATTAGGTGTAAAAAAGTTGTTTTCCCGATGGATACCGCATTCGCTCTGTGAAGAGCAAAAAGCGGCTCGCGTTACTTGGTGCGTCAGAACTCAAATGCTGTATACAACATTGTATCAGGTGACGAATCCTGGATATACGCGTACGAACCCGAAACAAAAAACTAGTCACGAGTTTGGGTGTTCGAAAATGAGTTAAAGCCAACAAAAATTGTTCGTTCACGGAGTGTTGCAAAAAAAATGGTGGCCACGTTTGTCTCCAAAACCGGCCATGTTACGACTATTCCTCTTGAGGGACAAAAAACGGTTAATGCAGAATGGTATGCTAGCATTTGTTTGCCACAGGTCGTTTCTGAACTCCGTAAAGAGAACTGCAACCGCCGCATGATCCTCCATCACGACAATGCGAGTTCTCACACCGCGCACAGAACAAAAGAGTTTTTAGAGCAAGAAAACATAGAATTATTAGACCATCCGCCGTACAGCTCCGACCTAAGCCCTAATGATTTCTATACTTTCCCTAAAATAAAGAATAAATTGCGTGGACAGAGATTTTCATCACCTGAAGAAGCTGTGGACGCCTATAAAAGGGCCATTTTGGAGACCCCAACCTCCGAATGGAATGGTTGCTTCAATGATTGGTTCCATCGTATGGAAAAATGTGTCAAATTTCGCGGAGAATACTTCGAAAAGCAATAAATACATTTTTAAATAGTAATGTTGTGTCACTTCGTTAATTCCCGAAATTTTCAGTGCCGCCTATGTATACCTCGAATAGAACTCAAAGTTAATATTTTTATAATAAGGAACTTCATTCCTATCCGGCGTCCCACGACACCACACATTCTTTTATTTTAATATCTATAATTACTCACAGTTTATATCAAGTATTAAAAGCTTAGTTTCCGGTGGCGCTAGGTTTGTGTTCGAAGCTTGGCAGACGAGTCTTGCGTTGAGATGCTGACGACCGACGCTGGGGAAGGTCAGGGTGTTGACGGTCACTCCGTCAGGGCGCTGCTCAAATGAGTCGTCGATGACGGTGTTCTCCAAGTACCACGTTACACTGGGCCTTGGATCACCTATGGGTTAAATGATTGATTCTCAATTTGGTGTTTAAAATAATTTGAGTCAATTTGGACTCCGACAAACTTTAGGTTTAGATTTACAGTAAGGAATTTAAATCTAAATGTTTCTATACTGTTGTCAATGATGCGTAAATATTGAAGCTATTATTCATTGAAAAATCAAACCTAACTTTTTTCACAATGAAATGTGACATATTTTTTTCAATTTTTTATTGCTTGGATGGGTGGACGAGCTCACCTGGCATTAAGTGGTTACTGGAGCCCATAGACATCTACAAAGTAAAGCGCCACCCCAACTTGAGATATGAGTTCTAAGGTCTCAGTATAGTTACAACGGCTGCCCCACCCTTCAAACTGAAACGCATTACTGCTTCACGGCAGAAATAAGCAGCGTGGTCGTACCTACCTATGCGAACCCACAAGAGGTCCTACCCCCAGCATTAAGTAGGTACTTCATTAGAAAAGCTGGTACCTGCCTACAGGATGCGAATACCGACACAGTTGTATCGCTCGATACGAATGCGCGTAGCTACCCCGTACGGGTAGCTACTCACAAGAGGTCCTACCACTAGTAAAATATTCTTACCACCATATGTTTCGCAAATAAGTTCCAGGGTATCTCCCTCGTTGTAGGGCTCTAGTAGTCGAGTGTGGCTTCTGGTCTTGGCGTCCATAATGCTGGGCCGATTCGGAGGTGCTGGGAGAATAGATAACATTAGCTCAAAAGACGAGATACTGATATTTATAGTTATAGGGGAATTAAAGAGAAAAAACACGTGTGGCACTCGGGGACTGTCGCGATAAAGCTATTGCATAGCATTTTTAATCAACTTATGCAACAATAATAATTTAATATTAAAACTATAATAAAGTAAGACCGCGCTATACTTAAAAACATTAACAAAAGCGAAACATTAACTGTCCCCTTCACACTCATAAGCTAGACCGCGCGAGAGAGAGGTGGGCAGACTTTTCATGATGCGCATGCAATGCGCCGTTACGTCGCGCTTATTTACAAACAGTACACAAGCGCAACTTGTGCGAGCTACATGGAGCAAACAAGAAAACAAACAGAAGCACATAAAATGAGACTTTTTTTTTTCGAAGTCGGTTCGTAAAATAAATATGAGAAACTCACGGCCATTCACAACAAAGGGAAATAAGTGTTATTCTTTCCATTGATAGATATGATTTTCTATTAATATTTTTGTGCGCAGTACCTTACCTGTGTAAGGGGGAATTGTAAGACAGTATTTGTAAACGCCTCAATTCTGTTTATTTCGTTCGAGAATCCAACGATAATTGATATTGGGTGATTTTAACAGAAGAGCAGTCGTTTTAAAATCGATACTTCAAGTGCATGTCTCGAAGCGGATGGTGGTACTCAGGTTATGACTAATGTCTATGGGGGCTCCGGTAACCGCTTAACACCAGGTGCGCTGTGTTTTCGCTCACCAGTCCATGCAATACAAAAAGACAGAATCCACAACAAATTTGAAGTCGTCGTGGCCTAACGGATAAGACGTCCGATGCATTCGTGTTGAACGATACAACGGTGTTCAAATCTTAGGCGGGTACCAATTTTTCTAATGAAATACGTACTCAACAAATGTTCACGATTGACTTCCACGGTGAAGGAATAGCATCGTGTAATAAAAATGAAACCCGCAAAATTATAGTATAATTTGCGTAATTACTGGTGGTAGGACCTCTTGTGAGTCCGCACGAGTAGGTACCACCACCCTGCTTATTTCTGCCGTGAAGCAGTAACGCGTTTCGGTTTGAAGGGTGGGGCAGCCGTTGTAACTATACTGAGACCTTAGACCTTATATCTCAAGGTGGTTGGCGCATTTACGTTGTAGATGTCTATGGGCTCCAGTAACCGCTTAACATCAGGTAGGCTGTAGGCTCGTTCACCCATCTAAGCAATAAAAAATATCTTGAGCCTGTAAAGGGCAGTTAGGGACCAGGGGATGGTGAGCAACAAGCCCGCATAAGGTCATCATATTTTAGTCTCAATTGCATTCCTCCAACGCCTTTTCTACTATCAGCCCAGGCCCACAATACGCCCTATAAGATAGTAATCTTACGTGCTGAATTACAGTAGTAATACGTTAAAATAATACGTTTGATATTGTTTTTGTCGTATCACTCTTGTTAGAGCGGTCATGGTCGTTATCCAGTATCATTGGTGTGGACAGATGCTATGCGCCTCACGAGCAATAGCCACTCATCCCGGCTTGTGGTGAGTCTGGTACACTCATGCAAACAGCCGCCAACTGCCGAATTGACTTGGTCGGTCCATCGCATAGGCAATCTTCACGTGGTTTGGTGCCTTCTACTTTGCCCTGAACGACAAGGCGGTCTATGAAGACATTTGCTCGTCTGAAGATATGCCCAAAAAATTATAATATGCGCTCATGCACAAGCGCCGTAAGACGCTGCTTAATACCTAAATTAATCAGTTAAATAAATTAAATTTGTCTAAAGTCTAACTAACTCTAAAGTCTCTCGAGTCAAGAGAAATGTACGAAAAAGAAAATTCTTAACTTAAATGCAGCGTACCCACTTTATTCTCAGATCTCGTCTTAACGCTGATTGGGTCACCGATATACAGTTCCCAACTTTTGTTCTCAACACGATAAGCTCTTCAAGAAAAAATAATAAACGAATTCTCTTCTCCGAAAATTGAGGATTTAGTCACGTCGAGATAGGTCACAAAAGCTCTCAACCGAAAGGATCTACGCAACTTTGTTCACGAGTGCTCATCTGTTCACATAAACAGCGGAACAGTGTTTTATATCAAAGCTTGAATAACATCAAACTAGCAGAAATTCTTAAAAGCTTAATGTGAATAACAAATTGAATTTTAATAATGAAAAACATATGTTCGATTAGTCGTAATCTTAATTGGAGTAACTGGGTTAAATCTGGAATGTATGATCAAGTAATTACCCCTATCGATTTCAATTAATCGAAATTTCTACATAAAGCCGAGTCTAATTCAGCTATTTGCTGGTTCTGGCCTCTTACGAGAATGTATTACTACCTCACCNTAATGTGAATAACAAATTGAATTTTAATAATGAAAAACATATGTTCGATTAGTCGTAATCTTAATTGGAGTAACTGGGTTAAATCTGGAATGTATGATCAAGTAATTACCCCTATCGATTTCAATTAATCGAAATTTCTACATAAAGCCGAGTCTAATTCAGCTATTTGCTGGTTCTGGCCTCTTACGAGAATGTATTACTACCTCACCACAAAAGACCGAGGTACCTACCTAATCTTGATGATTCCGCGAATTGCTTAGGTAAACTGAAGCTTGTACAATTGTCTAATAAATTGGTTTTCATTTTAAGTTGATATTAAGCAGCGTCTATAGAAATAATTTTAGCGTAACTAAAATTTCCTTCTTAAACTCAGTTTAAGCAGAGTTGTCAGTGGTATAGCTATAAGATAAGAATAAAAAGAGGACGTATTAGATACATAATCACTTTGTACCTACCCCCAGTCTACCTACGACACCGTTACATGATACACCTGATCATCTTCAATAGATTCTCTTTACAAAGAAATATCTAAAAATACAAATGGCTTTTTTAGCAACAGCGTCAATTGTTGTCGTCTTAATTTCCTATATCTCTGCAACGCCCACATTACTACCACCCAACTGGCGACTGAAATACCTGTGTAATTGAGGTGACCAGATAAATATGTTATCAGACAGGATTGGTGGGTAGAATTGACGTATTCGTAGCTAAATATAGGTGCCACGGGAATAAGCGGATTATGAAGGGCTCGACGAGAGAATTAACACAGACAGGCCACTCAGTTTCTCGCCGGATCTTCTCAGTGGGTCACGTTTCCGATCCAATCGTAGATTTTGCGAAGCACTGCTCTTACTAGGGCCAGTGTTAGCAACACTCCCGATTTGAGCCCCGTGAGCTCACCTACACGTCAAGGAGAAGCTGAAATAGCCTCTCAAGGCTATCAGCATAGGTAAGAAAAACAAAGTGAATTAAGGTAAAAAATCGTAGATGACGCGATAAGGGAAGTAAAGGATTACAAATTCTATTCAACAAATGGCAACTGGAAAATAGAAAACCATTTCATTGAAAACCGAATTCCATTTCAAAAGAAGCCTCGCAGCTATCTCAAATCAAGATCAATAAAGTCAGAAAATTTTTAACGAGTTATTTTTCATTTTGATGCATTCGCGACTGGCGATGATAAAATTCGAACCTTGAGCACAGATGTGCTGATTCTCTAAGCTAACAAGATATATATTATTGTTTACTTAGTAATTGAACTAAAGCGATAAAAAAAATACATGTTCATACTCCGCCCGTTTTTGCACTGCGCACACCACAAGCGAAAATATTGAGCCTTTAAAATCCAAAAGACAGCAACTTAAGTTTCCATTTTAATAGGCAGTTATTTTCTTTTCCTATTCACTGGTAGCCTTAGAGGCTATTTCAGCTACGCGCGGATGGGTAGGTGAGCTCACGGGCTCAACCTGAGAGAATTTGCTAACACTAGCCCTAGCAAGAGCAGTGCTTCTCAGAATCTATCACCGCATCGGAATTGCGACCCACTGAGAAGATCCGGCGAGAAGCTCAGTGGGCTGCTAAGCAGATGACTGCCAATTGGCTCATGTACCATGTGTTATGACGTAGCAACTAGAGTTCAAAGACGTGACCTTCAGCAAGCAGGTTAAAGTCTGAATTGGATTGGCGGCTTGCACAGAAATGCTCTACTGAATTATTACTAGACTATATTGAATTATAAACTTGGAAAAATGCATATAAATGATGAATTTTCCAAGACGATGTTACAAAAAGGAATCGCTTAAGGAGACAATCTACTGCCGACCGCCGAAACTTTTTCCATTACAAATACGAGTCGAGGACCAATCATAAATTAAAAAAAAAAACCGGACCTCGAAGGATTTTTTGTGAATAATATTTTTTAAACACGTGTTCTTTCTTCGGAGTAAGACGAAAAATCCTTTTACACTTGTATTTAAAATACACCTCCATCACTAAATTTAATTAATACCGTTTTATAATCCACTAGATGATGACCGAGCTTTGCCCGTTTTTTTTTTTTGTTAACGCCCTCTTGTTGTTTCTTTAAAGCGGTTAGTTGCCCTCAATTAAGAAAAATAGTATTATTAATCGCCAATAGATGTCGGGAAGAGTTGATTATTGAAAACACGAATAAAACAACATTTTCTGAAAATAAACCGTAGCTAGATCGATTTATAGCCACCGAAATCCCCTGTATACTAAATTTTATCAAAATCGTTGGAGCCGTTTCCGAGATTCAGATTATATATATATATTAATATACAAGAATTGCTCGTTTAAAGGTATAAGATAGTGGACATTATCATAGCGAAAGTAAATTCGTTTGTCAGTTTTCACGTCTTAACCGCTCAACTGATGATCTTAAAATTCTGGATACGCATTGTCAGGGGCACAAGAAGAAAACAGAGATAGAACTTTCATCCAAATATGAAGTACTATTCCCGAGAGATAAAAAATTTTATTTTAGTCGGTCTTCCGACATTGCGACTCGTCCCACTGACATAAATAAATTGCAACGCGATGTCTGGAGTACAGAAAAAAGGAAAAAAGGACTTGTGGTATCATGGAGAAAATCTAATAAAAACCATCGCAGGTGGCATTT